GTTTTATATAGATTAGGTGGAAAGGCGACAATTTGGGATATTTGTTCTAAATTCGGAATTGCAGAAGGTACTGTTCCATTATTTACATCTAGGGTTATTAAGGCTTTAAAGGATTTAAAAAAAGATGTTATTGTCTGGCCACGTGGTGATTATCGACAAAAGGTTCATAAAGGTTTTGAGGAGATGCATGGCTTTCCAAATGTAATTGGCGCATTAGATGGATCTCATATGAATTTACTCGAAGCTCCTAGTAAATTAAATAAAGATGTTTATATTACACGAAAACGACGTTATGCAATTCATCTTCAAGCTGTTATAGATCATCGAGGAATATTTCTAAACTATGATCTTGGCTACCCCGCATCAGTTCATGATGCTAAAGTATTTCGAAATTCTAGTTTATATCGTTGCAGGAATCAGCTTTTCGAGGAAACTGATTATGTATTAGCAGATTCTGCATATCCAATTTCACTAAATATAATTCCTTCATTTAAGGATCCCTCGGGCTTAGATAAAAATCAGAAAATTGCATTCAATCAAAAGCATAGCAAATCCCGAGTTGTAGTAGAGCAAGCATTCGGTCGATTGAAAAGTAGATTTCGGTTATTGCAAGAGCTAAGAACAAAAAATACCAAAATGGCAACTGATTTAATAGAAATTTCATTAATTTTATATAATATCTTAGAAAAAAATGAAGATGAGTGGGAGGAACCTTCGGAGCAAATAGTAATGCATCGAATGCAATTTAATGATATTATTACACGAAGGGGTCAGGCAATTAAAGAAGCGGGAAATATTAAAAGACAGAATTTAATGGATATTGTGTTAAGTTAATATATTATTATTTTATATGTTTTAAAATTTTATATATTCGAACTTACTCATTTATTTAGTTTTCTTATTATTATTTAAACTTATTGTCAAGAGATAATTGTAACTAATTAATAATAAAGGTATATTTCTTTGAAACATCTATTACCGTAAGTTACCATATACAGGACCTGGGTCTCGCCAGTTTTAAACCATATAATAGACCCGGCTATAGTATATAGCCAAGAGTTTATATTATAAAAAGAAGAATCTTAAGATGTATACGTATATTTATAACATGTGGTTTAGATATTAAAATAGGCTTGTATTTGATTAATAAAGACCCTGTAGTTTGAGCATCCAACGATTTTATCAGTATTTACTTGAACGAAAAAAAAATGATATTCCAATATATACCTTTGACTATAAATTAATTACATCATTATTATAAATTAAGCGATAAGTATTATTATTATTATACTTTATGAGTACTATTAATTCTTCTCCTCAATTTAAGTTCAGTTTTTGATTGCATTGCAATGCCTAGAGATTGGAGCTTTTTAAAAGTTAATTTTATTAATTTTGAGTAGTTAAAGGTCGGTAATATCATATATAATTAGCATTAATAAAGCCAACTTTTTCTTCTGACACAAAAGGGTGCTAATTCGAAATCAGAAACCTGAACCTTAGGTCTAAAACGCTCTATTGTTTTTTTATAATTAAAACAAATCAAGTAAGTTCATCAATTTTTATACCGTACAGTATATAGAGATATGTGTTAGTTTTGGATCCACCTTACTTTACTGACAATCATTTCACCAACAGCTCACTTAACCAAGTGGCAATTTACAAAAACATATACCCACAACTAATAAAACGCTAATTCTAACTCTATATGATATTGGCTAAGTGAACTTTCGCTGAAATGATTGTCGGTGAATGGTTAGTTTTAGTGTAAAAAATATCTATTGTATATAAATACGGTAATCATCATAGTGATAGTGTGCAATTCTTATAAACTATATGTAGTTATAGCAGAGATACCTATTCTTAAAAAGAATCTCTAAACAATAAATTGCATAATCGACACAATAACCACTTGAAAGTTCTTTTCAATTTCTGATCGTAGTTACTAACTTATTTTGTTAAGGTTGACTTTGTTAAAGTTTGTAGAATTCTCAATTTAGATATTAATACATTTGAAAATAAAAACGCGAGAAATAGCAGTAATAAAAAGTAATATTTTTAAATTTCAAAATTCAAAGTTTTCTTTTCGTAATGGATCAATTCACTTCCACCATCGGTTCTACTCAGTTTATTAATTACATACCTCCTTCTTCCCAAGATAATATAATTTCTCGAACTCAACAAGCCAATACTTCAAATAAATTTAAAACTATAGATTATGAATCGGATTATAGTGAACCAATTCCAAGTAGTAAATTTTGGTCGGATTCTGAGACGAGAGCCCTAATCTCTTATCTAGCAGACAATTTTGATTTGTACCGTAAAAATAAATCAAAATTTTATGGCATGGCTGCGAATAAAATTGGTAATAATAGAACTAGCGCTCAAGTAAACTCGAAAATTCAGTCACTTAGGTCAAGATATGAAAATGAAAATAAAGAGGAAACTGGAAAAGCCAGATCAAAATGGCCGTACTTGAATGATATGAACGAAATTTTCGGAAACAGAGAAAATGTAAAACCGGATTACTTGACATCCAGTATTGACATGGTAAAATAAATTTATTATTGTTATAAATTCTTAAAGTACAGTCGTATTTGCATTTACTAATTATAAATTTATTTTAATACGTAGGATGATGAATATGATAATTACGATAAGGTTTCAAGTCATAAAAAGCGAAAAATTTCTGAAGTTGATCAAATGTATTTTGACGAATTAAGATCGTTAACAAA